CAGTAGTTCAAGGCGACTGGGAAGCCACCAATGAGACGAATAGCAATCTGCAGAAAAACAAGACACGAACGGACCACCTTTGTTGGTGCTGCTGCTGATGCCCCTCTCGTTGTTCAGAGTCGGTGCTTGCATGCGTCATCGGTGTCAGTGGGCCGAGCCCCTGCTGACTGTTTTGCGAATAAACCAGATACAAAAACCGACGTTCTAAGCTTGGCTACGCAGAATAACGCACGTCGACTTGTTGTTGCGGTGGATTGGTTTCCTGCTCTAGCGTACCCAGGACGGAACAGGCCGTCCTCAAGACATCCTGCAGCGCAGAAAGCACACAAGGCGCAGATTAGGGAACCTGCGCACTAACACATCCTCCAGTTGCAACAGTTACTGCAGCTGATCTCCGAGCTGTCGCTATGTCAGAGGGTGAAGCTTCTGAACACCGCTTCCTGTGAAGCTCTCCTACCATGGGATGGGCTTCTTTCGGTATTTGTTTGAGAACTGTTAGGAGCTGAGGTGGCAGCTGCCTCGCCCTGTAGAGTTTCTGCTTTAGGATCGCCAGCTGTTGGTGGTTTGGCAGCTCGCCGAGCAACAGCAAATGTACCACCTCCTCGAAAGTTGCTTCTCGGGCCAAGTCCACGACATTGTATCCTCGATAGTTCAGCCCTTTGCGGAAACAACCAAGCATATCATGACCCTACCCGTCGTCAATATTAGTGCAAGTCATATTTATAGTTCTGGGTGCTGTACTACTACATTCACAGTTTCGTGCTGTTCAGCAAACGAGTTAGAGGCCACGCGCGGTTGGCGCAAAACCAAGACAGGATCGAAAAGCGCTAACGTACCGCTCCCCAGCGCCACAGTGCAGATAGACGATTCTCCAGCGACGACTCCAGCGAGGCCCCCCGACGAAGTTCCCTTAGGCGCCTCTTTTGAAGGCTGTTTGCTAGAACTCGTCGGTGGGGGGCCCCTGCGCTCGCGCTTCTGCCGTGGTGAGCTCGCGTCCAACGCAGCGGACGACGACATAGGAGGCCCCATGGCTAAGAATATAACTGCAGTGGGTACGCACAGGCACCGCAGGATTTGCTCTGGTTGGCGGGTTCAGGTGGCGGACGGTCAGTTCAAGTGACCTTTGCAAAGGGCAGGGACCTCGGCGAATTTCATCGTTAGGGCGGGGCCCTTAACCCAGCCCTCTTGCTTTCACAAACGTGCTCACCTTATTTTT